TTTGCGACTGGGTCTTACAAGGAACACCTCCCTGACAGCCTGCCCTAATGATTTGTCCTTTTTCAGGACATGCCCATGATTACAAATTAAGTTGCTCTTTCTCTGGAATCATTCTTTATAAAAGAAAACATGCCTCTAACAACAGTTTACAGGTGGATTGGCAAACTTACCTGTACAGCTTTGACAGAAGCTCAGATAAGAAATAAAGTAAGTATAACTTGTAAAACTGGGAAAAAACTTTAAAAAGGCAGTAAAGCTAAATTACAAGAGTATTTATGTAAATCTTTTCTCCAATCTACTACAACTGAATCACAAAAGTCAGTCTCAGCCAAAGATCATGATGAGCTGAAGCAAAGCATTGGGCTTTGTAGAAGTCAAATTAACACCTTAAGAAATGAAAACAATACATTAGTTGAAGAAAAGAAAGTGCTTGTTGAAGAAAAAAAAGTGTTAGTTGAGGAAAAAAAAGATCTCCTTTTGAGTCTTGAAAATGCCAAATCAGACAAGGAAGTCAAACTCTTAGAAAAGACAAACAAAGTTCTAGAATCTGAGTTGAAAACTTTAAAAGAAACCAGAACATACACAGAAAATACCAAATTAAGGAAAGAAAATTGTAGTCTCAAAAGCGAAATGGAAAAACTTGAACAGGACAAGTTAAAGTTGACAACCTCAAGCAACTTCACAGCCATCTCAAAGTTGAAACAGCAACTAAAAATGAACAAACATCAAAAAGTAAGTGGCAATCAAAGTATGAAAAGTTAAAGCAGGTTGAAATGGAATTGCCACTTAGATCTAGTGATAGTGAAGATGATGAGCTTGATTCCGGCATTAACTTAAAAAGAAAACAGAAACAACAGATATTCACTTGAAGTGCGAAAGACGTACATGGCATTGCAGGGTGCAGGTGTCGCTGCGAGCAAATGTAGTGAAGTTGTTGGGATAGTAAGTGAAGGTCTGTTTGATAAAAAGGTGAAAAGTCTTCCTTGTGTCCAATCCGCACTTAATTTTGCAGATCAAGGCCACTGTATTGCAAAGTATCAGGTTGCAGAAAAAATCCTCCAGAGCAATCATGCTACATATGTTAGTGATGGGACCAGCAGGTCCAAGTTGCATTATATGGAGCGGCATGTAGTCCTAGATGATCGATCTGTGTACTCTTTGGAGTTCACAGAAATTGCAACTGATGATGCTAAGTCTATCCTGGAGCAGTCAGTACATGTTTTGGAAGAGCTGACTCATTTGTATTGTGCCAGCTGTGAAGGTGAATCAACTTATGTTGAAAAAGTTAATAAGACTCTCTTTGAGATTCTGACAAAGATCAAATCCCTTATGTCAGACAGAGCGGCGAATATGAAGGCAAGTCTCTTTTCCGAGTACAAATGTGAAAAGGTTGGAACAGCTGAACCTAGCACATTGTTTCTTTTTTGCAATGCCCACTTCTTGTTGGGTCTTTCTTCTGCCGCTGAAAAGTCCTTTGAGGATGAGTTGTGGCTATCTTCCACTCTTGGCTATGACAATCCTTTATCAAAGGAGCTTGTCACACTCTGATTGATCCGCTGTGCTGCAGATGTTTTCGGACCCAGGGGTGATGAGAAATATGGCTCACGCCAAGAGTGGTTGGCATTTTGTGACAGCAAAGGTGTTAAGTCTACTTTTACTAGCTACAGAAGCAATCGCTTCAACAATTTGTTTGAAAATGCCTGTGCTGTGTTATTTCATCGTTAGCACATTGTGGAGTTTTTGTCTAATTTTTGTTCACATTCTAACCAGAAGCTGGTTTCTGTTCTTGCTGATGTTAAGGACAAACATGTTTTGTCGATTGTCTCAGCATTAGTGTCCTTCCATCACTTTGTCACTGGACCGTACTGGATGTTGATGAACAGCAGAAAACCATATGGGGCTTTTCCAAACTATGTTCAACTGATGGACACTGCATTTAACAATATTGAAGCCCAGTCTGATTCAGTACGCCCAGCTGATCTCCCATCAGTGTTTGAGGATTTTAAACTTGTCAACCATGAAGTGGTCTGTGACCTCCATGCTTTTATTTCTGACATGTGTGTCGAAGACTTACAAAGAAGAGCTTTTGTCAGTATTGTTTCTCATTCTCATGTTGTTTTGAAGAACAACTGAATGAATTTCTAGAGGGTGGTATGTTTGGTGGTGACATTGATGGAGAAGTTCTTGTAATTCTTAATAAATGCCCTCTCAACAACCTGACTGGTGAGCAAATTTTTGGGGATTTGGATTTTGACATGAGCAAACGCAGACGGTGCACAACACACCACAGAAGTACAATCAGTATGTGGAAACACAACAATGTCACAGCTTGGCTGAATACAAAAAGTAGGGAAGAACAGGAAGAAATATTTCATCTTGCACTGAAAAACAGTAAATTGCTCAGAAAAGAACACAAAGAAGCTGACTAACTCTTATGCTGCCCACTGTCTTGACCCCTTGCCAGCGACCAACTATTACAAAGAGGTGGTCTGACACTTATCGTGAGGAGATGCAAGCTTTCATCGGATTGCAAATCGCCATGGGTCTCAACCCCAAGCCCAGCATCGACGACTACTGGCGTTCGTTCTGGCTCGTCGACATCCACTTCAAGCAAGTGATGTCAAGGCACCGTTACAAGCTGTTGTCAGCCTTTTTTCACTTCAGGTAAGTAAATGTGGCATAGATCTAATAATTCTAGTGAAATACCCTACTGTAAATCTAGATTTAGTAGATCTAGATCTAGATCAGATCTTTCTAGGCATTCTAGGTTTTACATTAGGCTATGATACACTGGATCTACATTCTAGTTCCAGTTTTTATTAAGTGATACATTCACCACTAGATCTGAGATTAGGTTACCGTTATATACTTTTTTATGTAAATGTTCACCATCTGCTTTTTTTCTCTTTAGTAGGCTACTTTAGGACTAGAGCTAATTATTTGAGATGCAACTGAATGCTGCAGAGGGCTGGCCTTGCTTCCGTTACTTACCATTGTTGATTTGTCTTTCTGTAAATTTGTGAAACTGCTTCACATTGTTCACCTACGAGTTTTGCAAATTTTTTTCCCCCCCTTCCCCCCAATACCCAAAAACTTATGCTTGCTGTTTTCACTGATAACTATTTCTTTTTCTCCAGTGATGCTGCACAGCATGTGGCACGGGGGCAAGCTGGGTACAAGCCACTGCAGAAGATCCAGAACTTCCTTGACCTCATCAGCCCGTCCTTTCTGACTGCCTACTATCCTCACCAGCAAGTCAGCACTGATGAAAGCATGGCCAGATTCACGGGAAGGTGCCACTTCAGACAGTATATGCCGGACAAGCAAACGAAGCGGGGGTTCAAGTACTTCTGCCTGTGTGATTCTGTGTCGTATTACTGCCTTCGCTTCGTATTGTACACAGGTAAGGACTTTTCCCCTCTCCCCGACGGCAAAGCCTTTACCAATCACCTGGTCGAAACCCTCCTTGACGGCTACCTGGATAAGAGCCACATTTTGTTTTGTGACAGTTTTTACAGCTCCCCAGGACTCTTCAGGGAGTTGCAAAATAGACAAACGGGTGCTGTTGGCACTGTGGTGGAGACACGGAAGGGCTTTCCGGAGCAGCTGAAAAAAGCGCATCTTCCCCTCGGAAAGGAGATGATCCTGTCTTTGCCAAAGCTGGCGATCTTGTCGCGACGGCCTGGCATGACACCAAGCGTGTGTGCTTGCTGAGCACCGTCCACAGCAACGGTGTGATGAACAAAAGAATTCGCTTCTCCAAGACTCTCGGAGGATTTCGCGCAGTTCAAAAGCCGATGCTAGCGGAGTCTTACAACAGTTACATGGGTGGGGTGGATCACTTTGACCAGCTCCACAGGAATTACCACTACCCCATAGGAGCTACAAGTGGTACATGGCCTTGTACCACTATGTCAAAGACATGTGCCTCGTCAATGCACACATATTGTACTAAGCGGACGGGGGAACGGACTGCGTCAAAGACTTCAGGTTATCGGAAATTGATGCGCTAGTCAAGCCGTATATGGGCATGCGTCCCGGTTGACCTCGAGCCCAGCCAAACCCCACTGCCGAACGTTTGTCTGCTGCCCAGCTTGGGCATTTCCCGGCTAAATTCGGGGACGCCAAACACCACCCACTGTGCAAAGTTTATTTGTCCATCAAGAAGCGGGCCCAGACAAGGTTTTACTGTCCATAGTGCAACACTGCCTTGTGTGTCGACAGGGAGTGTTTCAGGATTTGGCACACTGCTGCAGACGTCAGGCAGGCGCGGCAGCAGCTGGAGTTGTAGTGCTACTTATTCACTTGGATCAAGCCCACATATTTGGATTATATTTTGTCACAGTGAGTACCTTTAGAATCTTTTGTAGCTACATACACCACAAGCATGCTTTGCAACACTTCAAATTTCTCCCATTCATCCACAACTACAATCCTCAATACATGAACATACACATACATATCGTGTTCTCGATGTTGTGCTTTTTTTCTTTCAGCCTAAGTGTTGTGCTTTCTTTCAGCCTAAGTGTTGTGCTTTTGTTGTGGAGTAAAAAAAAGGATATATTTTTTGGTCAGTTTTCATGTAAATATTACATAATTTATTCAAAACAGCCACCTTTGTCAAGTCACGGGATAAAAATGATAGTGAAATTTCAAATATTATTCAATTCTCCAACAGCCCTGCAAGTTCTATAACAGTAAATTATTATGGTACTGAGTAATTAGCCTTTTTGTGAGACACTCCCAATCCCTCTTTTCGGTCCTCCGTTTTCACCTGTTGGGGTACTTTTTTATAATGTCTCTAGATTGCCACAAAAATCACCCAGCCACCTTTATTTGTACTTTTTTGTAACCAGAAATGGTCAAATCGCATTTTTTGGGCATACTTGTGTGGGTATAGTGTGTTTGTGCTTTTCAAGGAGTGAAGGAAGTGACTTTTCTTGAAATTTCAGGTAAGTGTTACATAATTTATTCAAAATGGCAGTCGTGGAGACATAATCTTTTTTTTTTTTTCACAACAAGAAACCTCATCCACTTGTGCTGCCATCCTGATATTTTCATGGTGGTAAATGCATATGTAATAGAGCAGTTGACATTTTTGTCAACCCACTTGTTTTCTCCTGCCATCCACCCATAATGTTTGTGGAGCCAAGGGTTTTTTCACTCTACTGTATGTGGTGGAAAAGTGTTAATGTTTGTCTAAATACCTGTAAAACTTGAAATTCAGTGTTTGTTCATAGTCCTCTGGGTAAGACTGCTGGCTAAGCACACTCTGCCCAAATACGAAAGGCTCACAGAGAAAACACTTCAACACCGTGAGAGGAAAGCAACATAGAGTGCCAACAAAAGCCTGCACAATGTGCTGTGGCCAGAGTGCCCTAGGCAAAAATTTTCAGGGCTGAGAATGGCATACCCCAAAAAAGGGTGAAAACTAGGGGGTCCGGGGGCATTTTGATAAAAACGAGGCATAAAATAGCTAAGTCTGGTTATTTTGGAAGGGTTTGAGGTCTTATTTGTTACCTTAATTTTTTTAAAAAAATAATAACTACCCAAACACTGCCAAAAAGAAAATAAATCATTACTATACATTATTATCGTCTTTTGTTCAATTCGTTTTTTTATTCTTACTACAACATTATTATAATACGAAACTCGTAAAAAAGGCGGAAGAAGCGTTCGGAAGGGCGGACGGCGGTGTTGCAAAGAGCGGAATTCCAGACCACACAATTTGACTAGCTAGTGGCATAATCAACAAGAGGACCAGTGTGAGCAGAAAGGAAAGGGCAGACTAAGAAAGAAAAGGGAGACAATCTATAAAAAAAGCACGTAAAAAGACTTGAGGAGTTTTTAATTTAACCTCATTTACCAGCACATGACCTTAAGCTAGATATTAGTACACCTCGTGGACTATCTAGTAAAGGAAACAAATGTATTTAAATAAAGAAATAAGGAAACCTCAGACTCGGCTCCTTTGTGCCTGACACCATTGACATCTACATGGGCGGGTCTGCACGCAGCCTACGATGTCAAGCCCACAACGGCACCCCCCACTCATCCACCTCCTCGGCATCGTCAAACTTTCCCTCCTCGTCCTCCTGGGCCCGAGCAGCCTCCTCCTCAGCTATCTGTGCCTCAATGGCCAGCCAGTACTGTTCCTCCTGTTCCATGTCCACTCCCTCAAACAGTTTTTCCGAGCACTTGCCCGGCTGACTGTAGTGACCGTACGGGTTGCTGCGCGAGATGGCCTGCGAACAGAGCCAACAGAAGTGAAGACCACACTTCGTGCATTTCATCTGGTTGCAGCCCAGCGTTTTCTGAGGACAATCATAGAGCATAATATAGAACATCTGAACGTAAATGAAAGAGATGTGTTTTGCATAAATTCAAACTTTTTTAAACAGGACTTGCAATTTTTTTTTTCAAAACCCTATAAGGGACACCTAACATAATTAAATAATTTTACATAACAACAAATTCATTACATTCAGCGGGATTAGTTTTGGTGCAGTTTATGTGATGAAGGATTCAATTTGAAATTCCTAACTGCCGAATCCAGGACAGTCTGGGGATATTCGGGACAGCTGACAAGCTGGTTTAACATAAATTCAAAGATCATAGTGCACATCTAATTTAATAAACTGGAAGATTGGTTCAAGAGTAAAGCTGAAACAAAGCAAGTGGAAGACTGGTTCGTTTTACAGTAAAACTGAAACAATGCACTACATTATATAGTAAGTAGAAAGAAAAGATCACACCAGACTACCCATAAACAGCAAACCCGGTATGACGAGAAGCTGACAAATTAGTAGTGTAGATTGTAAAGCGCAAAAAGCCTGCTGTTGAGCGGGAACTTGCACTAAACAAATGCTATCTATTATCATTAATAACTTATACAAAAGTTTGAACATAAAACTTTTGTGCCATAGTAATATGATCTATTTATGCGTCTTTCAAGAACCATGAAACAAAAAAAAGTCATCCAACAAAACATTTGAGCATTTGACATTAGCACATTGTTCAAAGCTGGTAACAAAGGTTATGAGCACAAATGTATCATGCAGCAAAAAACAAGTCTGCTTCAAACGGCTTGAAGATATTAAAGATAATTTGATCTATAAACTCCAGCAGTTTGTTGGGAGGTATCTCATACAGCTCAAGAGGACCCTGACACGCTGGGTCAAAGAATATTAACTTTTCAATAACATAAATCAGCTCCAAGACAAACACTTCATTATGAAGCACAAGGAAAGATTAAGACCAGCTCAACACTACACAAAGACACATGCAAGAGATAGATTTTAGAAGAAGACTACATCAAAAATACAATTCAATTACAAGTATTTCATAGGACAAAAAATGCATTCTCAAAGTCTTTAGCAAATTTCTAAAAACTTTTCTCCAAAATACCTTTTAAGTCTTAAGCACGCAACATATGGAACTTGGGCAAACATATCACAGTAAACAAAGCAAAAAAAGAAGATCTGGATGTGCACAGGTGTAGATGTATGAAAATCCCAAAGGTGAGATTTGTGGCAGTGTGGGAAACATCAGTCTATGAAAAAAATTCATTCACACATGCTGTGGGTGTAGGTAAAAGAACCATGTCAGAAAAAGCAGCCTTGCCATAGGTGAGAGGTACGAAAAGGCAGAGATCAGGGGTACCATTCAGACCAAGTTGGAACTGGCATTATATTATACAGAATTATTAGTAAAATCAAAAGCTGCTTTTTTGTTTTTGCAAACTGGAACTGAAATAAGTATGTAGCAATCGCTTAGTTGTTTTAATAGTTTTAACACCTTGCCCCCACGGGACGCAGATCGGCAAGGGTAGAAGCCGTCCGTTTTCCCCACGGGACGCCGAGCTGCGGTGGTGCGATATAGCATGTACCGCATCTTTATCCTGGTCCGTGGGGATAAGTGTTGCACGCGCGCGCGCTGCGTGGGTGGAAAGTGTTAAGTAAGCGTTGGCGGTACTTGCAACACAATTAGGTCATACAAATGCTGAAGATTAACGGTGTTACAAACGAGTAACAAACACGGAAAAGAAGGAGAAGAGAATAAAAGGACAACAGAGCAAACTACACCAGAGCGCTCACAAGCTTGGTTGGTACCATGCTCACACTACAGTGACAGATAGTAACCCTAGTTTGAAAGCCCAAATGGGGAGTTTTTTAAATCAGGAGCATGCTGAGATAGACTTTACATGCAAAGATTCCACTTTTCCCCTTTTTCGTATTCGCATTTCTACTTAGGTTCCGACAATTATGTCGCAAACGCCGACATCGGCAGTCGGCGGTGCGCGCGTCGGCGGTCGGCACGAAAACGAAAGTGCCGACGAAGCCGACGGGAGAAAAAGGGGGCGCTGGCAGTCGGCCAAGCCTCGCACTACGCACATTGACTGATACAGGTGGGCCTAGCGATAGCATCGGCCGGTTCACGGGTCGGGTCGCGATTGTCGGATTTCAGACGATTGTCGGCAAACATGCAGGTCTAATTACTTAAAGGGGAGTTAAACACAAACCACATCAAACACAAACAGGTTATTTGGAAAGTGGAAGCAACACACTTTTTTAAAGCCGTGCATACAGCAAATAAAAGCAGGAAGTGATGGGGAACCAGATGGAGATACAGTACATGATTCAGGAAACAAAATATGAATAAGGGAAATGATATTCTGAAATTCTGAAATGCCCATAAATCCCCCCAAAAACACACGAAGCCAATCATAAATTGATGTGGCAGCTACAAATAATATGCGAGACATTGGGACAGGTAACATAAAAATGACCATGAATAATAGGCGGGACTAAATCACAAAATCTTTTTGGGCATCTCAAAATATACTGAACTTTTTTGCACCCTAACAATAGAACTTTCACTTTTTTAAAAGTAAAAATTAGTTTGAGAATGACAATTTGAGATGCATTTTTCTCAGACGTCTATATTTCATCAGTTAATCAGGAAATATTTCAGACAATATGATTCAATACGGTATCCATTACGTCCAAATTTTCTAAAAGAGTGTCAGCAATAATAGAACCGCAATAGTCCTGATCTTATTTTGAAGTCGAGGACTATCAAGCGCATGGTGAATCAGCAACAACAAACAATTTCATAATGATCTACTATTTCATCAGGGTGTAAAGAACTAAAATAAAGCTTTCAGAAGCAGATGTTCTGATGTGGATCATCCATGATGCTACACTGTTTCAACAGGGTATAGAAAGCAACAAAATAAAAATTCCTCGAGGCTTTTACAATTCAAATGAGTACAAGAAGCCACATTATAAAATGTGATGCAAAACAATCCATGATACAGCAGAACACATTTCCATGCTGAAGATGATGTTTAAATGCTTTGCTGAAGCACACGATGATGGGATGAAGCGTAAGCGATGATGTTTCCCAAAAGTAGCTGTTACAATTCAAATGAGTACAAGAAGCCACATTATAAAATGTGATGCAAAACAACCCATGATACAGCAGAACACATTTCCATGATGAAGATGATGTTTAAATGCTTTGCTGAAGCACACGATGATGGGATGAAGCGTAAGCGATGATGTTTCCCAAAAGTAGCAGATAAGCTGATGATGACGATGGGGATGACGATGAAATGACCAAAAATTTGTGTTGTCGGCTTTAACCACAAGAGCAGCAGAACAGCCACTGCGTGTGTGAGTAGGTAGGATAGGTCCCCATCTCACCTGCCTCGGTCACAAATTTGCAAAATCGATCTCATCATCTGAGCTGGAGTCCTCATTGTCATCATCATCATCCGAGGAGAAGAAAAGGTCGGCATCGGGGAAATCGTCATCGTCTATTTCCACCCCCTCGAAAAGCCTGTTGGAACAGGGCGAGGTCGGGTGCTGGTAGTGAGCGTAAGGGTTGCTGCGGGACAGCTCTTGTTGACAGAGCCAGCAGAAGAACGCACGGCACTTTGTACATGTCATCTTGTTACAGCCGTCCTTTTTCTGCACATGGAGGCCAGAGGGG